GCTATGCTGCAAGAGCTGATGGGAGTTGAAGTCCAAATGACACCCGAAGGAACACAGATTCCGCCATTATTCTGCAATGCAACCTATAACACACACATGCAACTGGAGCAATGGACAGCTCTGCTTCTTTCAAGAAAATCTATTCACGTTACTTGTTAAAACCCATTTAAAGGAAGAAACCCTATCAAGATACAATTTACTTTGAGGTTCGGGTTACACTAGTGTACAGATGGCTTACCTTTCCAATGGTTGAAAAGTGACCATTTAGAGTGCTTTAAACATTGATGTGGGGCAATCTTAGCATCCAAAGAGTAGATAATGACTCTTCATGTCCTATTCAAACTATTTTTCAGAGAAGCAGAGGAACAGGTCATTCAACTTTGGCTGAGACTTAGTTCTATGCTGTTTTGTAATTTCATTGATGCATTTGTTGTCATGGCAGACAAGGTGAAGCAGCTGCCTCAGGCAGGAAGATCCATCCAGTCAGCAGATCCCAATGCCGACCTTTCTTCCATCCTTGTTCTTGTTGTAGATATTCCCTCCCCGCTTCTTCCCTGGCAGAGAGGGAAGCACAATTATGGGGTCAGCCTCAGGTGCCAAAATGTATTGGGCTAGCTCTGTTGGTTGTTATACATATTTGGATTGTTATGTTATGTTATGTTTTATGTTGTTGTTATGTTATGTTATGTTATGTTATGTTATGTTATGTTTGTGATGTGATGTGATGTGATGTGATGTTATGTTGTTATGGTATGTTGGAGGAGGGTTGAATCCTCCATTGTATAGGTGTCTTCTTATTAATTAATCATTCTTGTTGTTTATTGGTTTGTGACTTGGTTATTTTACTCAAACTACCATTCAGACTTTTTTTTTCTGAACCAGGTTTTGAAATTGAGTCAATGGCAAACTGGACTCAAACAATTAGTCCATCCATATTAGTATCTTAATGGGGCTTCAAGGTTTCAGAGCCTCCCCCATTCCTGCTTATGTTCTTTAAGTGAAGAAGCTAGGGACTCTACTCAGACCCTTCTGCATGCAAAGGATGTTCTGTTCTACTGAGGTAGGGCCCTTCCCGGTGAGTTTGTGATGATTGCAAATAATTCTCCGAATGGTTATGTAAATTCTGCCTATATGTAGATCTCTAAATATAGCTGATTACCATTCAGAAACAAATTATGGGTAGTATCATTATTCATTTTGTGTTTTAACTAAAGGGAGGAAATACACAAGGTGCATTTACATGCAGTCCTGTTCATCTGTAAAGGTAAAGGTAAAGGACCCCTGACAGTTAAGTCCAGTCGCGAACGACTCTGGGGTTGCGGCGCTCATCTCGCTTTACTGGCCGAGGGAGCCGGCGTTTGTCCGCAGACAGTTTTTTCGGGTTATGTGGCCAGCATGACTAAGCCGCTTCCGGTGAAACATGAGCAGCGCACAGAAACGCCGTTTACCTTCCCACCAGCGCGGTACCTATTTATCTACTTGCACTTTTTGGCGTGCTTTCGAACTGCTAGTTTGGCAGGAGCTGGGACCGAACAACGGGAGCTCACCCCGTCATGAGGAGTTGAACCGCCGACCTTCTGATTGGCAAGGCCAAGAGGCTCAGTGGTTTAGACCGCAGCACCACCCGTGTCCCGCTTCCTGTTCATCTGTAGTTGGAAGTAAATCCTATTGTGTGAAATGGATCTTGTTCCCTAATAAGTGCTTTTGGGAATGCAACCTTGGAGAATATTTCCTCAACCAAATTACTGTTATAATTCCAGGTTTTTAAATATATCACATGGCACCAGCTACTCTTACGTTTAGGTTATGTATTATTATCATGACATGCAATATGTTTAAATTGCAACACAGACTGACATCCAATGATGTCCACCCACTTCCACAATGGAAATCTGTTTGTGCAATCTGTTTCTCCTCTCTGTGGTCCCTGAGTGTCCACAAAATCTGCTCCAGGGGTCCCTCAATCCTCCAGCAAAGCCTTGGGGGGAGGGGACAGTGCAGGGAAAGAGGCGTGGAAGGAACACTGGGTGTTCTGCAAGTCAGCTAACTTGCCATTTTTGCATAATTTAATAAATGAAGATAAATCACTTGAGAGTAACCTCTGTGCTAGTTTGCCTTTGAGATTTTCAGATTATGTAGAGCTTCAGCAGGACCAAGCATTTTATTTTTGTGACACATAAATATGTAAGCATCTTCCAACACATATGCAAATAGACCTTCTTTCATAGAAAGCAATCCATTCATGCTGAGCCACAAAATCTGAATAAAAGAACGACTCTCATTGCATACAAAATATTAACTTGTTTCCCAAAAACTTTGTTGATGTATAGGGAGCACAAGTGTGACAACTAGTTAATTAGATTACCGCCATTTGTTGTCAGCCATCTTCAATTCCCATTGATAATCCCATTTATACTGGACATGTGTGGGCGCAGAAAAAGAATCACATCCACTGGCCCTGGCCCTGATCTCTGCACTTTCATTCAAACGCCAGGCTAGAGCAGATGTCTATACAAACTGCATGCAAGTAAGCACTATATGTGAGATCTGTACCCCATATTTTGCAAATACTGAGCCTACTTTTGGAGAACATGTATGCACCTATGGCGTGCTCATGTGTGGACAAATGCATAGAGACCAGGTGGGACCATCAAACATGATCCTGATTCCCTCCTATGTGTTTATTGTGCTTATACCTAAGAGAGCTACTGTATCAATTTTTCATCCGTAAGAAATTTGTCCATATGTTGCATCTGTGTTGGGAAGATATAAATACAGCATTGCTAATGCATTATGCTAACATTGCTTTAATCAGGTTATTATTAAAGGACTGTTTGATCTTTAAGGATGTTGATTTAATGGGAATTAATTTAATGATTGAATACTGTTTGTGCAGTGTTATCACCGGTAGCGATGCAGAAAATTGGAATCTCAGCTCAGTTAGAAAGAGGTTAGACTTTTCCGTTATCACAGTGGATCCTGATGCTTATGGAGTGAACTTGTTAGACCTCTATTTTATGATTTCAATATATATTTAAATGCATTGGTTTTATCTAAAAGTCACCGAGTACAGGAAGTTGGGTAACTGTTTTTATTATTACGCTATTCTCATTTTATTTCTTTTTATTCTACTCTTTTTAATCAGTGACCTGAGTTCCTGTCTAAACTAGACTTATGAAAGCTCCTGAATTTTCTATTCTTTCTCCCTAGACACTCACAGAAAAAAACCACTCTTTTTTCACTCTCTACATTCCTCTCCCCACCCCTGCTAATCAGGCACAGAATAAAGGAAAAGAATGTTTCATATGAAGGTTTGTAAGGCTGAGTGAAAGATAGCTGCCTAAAGAGATCAGCAGCTGGCTAAGCTCATTTGTACTGGATATTATAAAAGAAATATTCTTTCACACATTCTGCTCATGCCTTAAAAGCTCATTCATGTAGCTTGATCAGTTTTGAATTAACAGCAGAGCATGTTGTGGAAATCCAGTGCTGCAAACTCGCAAATATTATGCATATCCCAACATTTGCAGGCACAGGTCCCATTTAAATTGTTACAATGGCTGATATCATGAGGTTAATTTGACCTATACAAAAATATGTACAACCAAAAGGTAGTTTTCAACATGATAAAACTTGTGACATCTAGCCATTTAAGCTTATACACTTTGGTGCATAAATATGCAAGGAGGCCAAATCTTCTAACAAAGAAGACTGAGAAGAAAACCCACATAGAGTGAGACCTTGTCCAATGCACTTTGGCAGAGAGATTAATTTCCAAATGCAGGAGGCATTTGATTAGCATTTTCAGTGCAACTTGGCAGGGTGGTCCAGAGTGTGATGGTACAAAATAGCTAACAGCACAATGCTAACCATGTTTACTCAGAACTCAAATTTTGTTGAATGCATTTGGATTTACTTCCAGGTAAATTAGGTTAGGATTGCAGCCTGTATGGTGGGCTACTCTCATCTGTAGCCTAATGCCACAAAAAGAATAGAGGACCTATCATCCATCAAACAAAAGGTGCAACACCTGCTTTTCACTGGCAGCTCCACCTCCTTTCAGGTTGTTTTAGGTTTCCCCACAAAGGGCAGTTTTGGGGTGCTGTCCTTAAACTTGATTTCCAAGCACTGTAAAAATAATAATTAGATTCTGAATCTTTACAAGGTACCTAGTCCTTCCAAGCTCCACGCTGTATAAACTCACCTTTAAAATTTCCCTGTTGTGTTGAGTCATTTTGAGGTGGTCCTCAATCTGTCATATCCTCTATAAATTTGTCTAATCTTCTTTTAAAGCCAAGTTGGTGGCCATCACTACATCTGGTGACAGCAAACTCTGCAGTTTAACTATGCATTTTGTGAAGACATACTTCCATTTGTCTTCCTCAATCCTTCTAACATTTGGCTTCATTGTATGGCCCCGAGTTATAGAATTATGGGAGAGGAAAGAAACGTATTTTATCTTTCCACTGTCACCATACCATGCATATTTTAGACACTTTCATCATGTATCCCCCTATCTCTAAACTAAAAAGCCCCAAATGTTCCCTGATAGGCAAGTAGCTCCAACCCCTTGATTTTTTATTCAATAATACATTCTCTAAACACATCACTATGCATCTTTATTTAGTAATTCCCACATAACAGCTTTGGACCTAGTTTATCGTGTTACAGAAAACACTCTTGGGTGATCACTAAGCTACTTGCAGTGAGAGTTGGGATCAATGCAAAGACAGCTAAGAAGGATGTCAGAAGTTGAGGTAGATTTCTTCGTGTTGTTTTTAGCAAATTCACAGTTCCTTATTATCTGGCACTTCATTTATACAAATAAAGGAGTTAAGTGCACTGTGCAACATCTACAGAGAAACCTTATGACTGGGATTAGTATACAGACGAATTCATACAAATGAAAATTTTGCTTTAAGTGCTCAGAAAATGTTTCCCCAAATTAATCTAATAAAAGCCACATGGAACCACAGATGGGGAGCATTTAGTCTGGAAGCACCATAGTTCAGTGGTAGAGCATCTGCCTTGTATGCAGGACCCAAGTTCAATCCCCAGTATCTCTAGGTAGGGTTGTGAGAGAACCCTGCCTAAAATCTCCATATCCTTAAATTGCCTGCCCTTTTATACACATAATGTACAAATCACACATTGTACACACATGATTTGTGTGGTGTCATACATGCGTACTCCCGGAGCAGGGCTGGATTTAGATTTGGTGAGGCCTAAAGCTACTGAAGGTAATGGGGCCCTTTATATGTCCAGCTGTCCATTGTCAACAACAAATTGCCACTGTTTTTGTGTTGAATATATGCCATATGGTAATTTATGGACCTAATAGGTATCTAAAGCCATTTTATTTGTTTTTTATCTTATATTTTGGAAATGTACATCCAGGTTTTTTTTCCTTTAATTTTTTTGGTGGCCCCCAAGAGAGTGGGGCCCTAAGCTATAGCTTGTTTAGCTTATACATAAATCCGACACTGTCCCAGAGGCAGTCCAGGGTGTCTATAATGTAAAAAAATGTTATTATGGGCTAAGTCTTGGATAGTTTGCAAGTACTAATATGACTTGTTTGCTCTAGAAGGATTTTTCTGCAGTTCACCTCCCTCTGAAGGCTGCATTGCATTGCACTATGCTATTGACTAATGAGTGGGACTGTCCTACATTACAGGATCGGATTGCCCTTAAGGTTTCTTTTTGTGGTTATTTGATGTCACTACATTCTCCAGGAACACTCGGAAAGATGTTACCCATAGTATGTCAGCTGCAGAGACAATGATTTCTCAGAGTTTGGCAGATAGTTCACATTTTGTGAATACTCAACCATTTCACATATAAGATTTGCACACATGATTGCTAAGGTCACGCTGCAGGCTACTGCAGAAATCAAGGGATTTTACTCAAAAGTGAATAATTAACAGGTGTAGGAACTAGACTCAGATGAGAAAAGTACTAATTAATATTAATATTATTGCAGGAGAATGCAACAAGCCATCTTTTGCTCCCCTAATCTTCTTCCTCCCCTTCCTTTTTGCTAATGTTCATCCATGATGAAAAACGAAATGTCAGCCCCTGAGGCTCATTATCTGTTGTTGTTTTTAAAGCATGCAAAGATCAAGCTGGGGGGGGGGCTTTAAAAAAAAGAACTGCAACACTTGTCTACATTCTGTAAATTTGTTTCAGTGTAGATTGTCCTACAGAAATAATTGGTGTTCTCATTATCTTCCTGCTAGTAACATGAACAGAAACGAAAATTGGGTGGGTTGGTGAAAACTGCAATATTCTGCAGCCTAAGTGGAGAAAATGTTAAAGGATAATACTAATAAGAAACAAGTGTGGAATTTTCAAGGCATATATTTCTTCACCAAATTGCTAGTTAGATAAATGGACTTGCAGGACTCTGTTTCAGGAATGGAATCTTGCGAGTTTTCTTAGGAAATAATAGTCCTGCCTTGCAAAACTGGATAAAAAGTAGACTTTGGGAGGGCAAGGCAGTTGAACAGATGGATCAGAGTAGAATACCCAACCACATATTACCCATCCATCCTCTTGGTAGCTTCATGACCATGAGGGACTTCAAAAGTCAGGGCTGAATTCAACTAGAGAAAGCCAACGCAAAGGCTCCTGGTAGCCCAGTGGGGCTTTCCATCCTCTCCTCCCCATTTGTCCCCTGCACCTCTCCCAAATCTGTTCTGGGTCAGGAGAACCCAAGGAACAGTAGCGGGGAGGGGGGCCATACCATCTGGCAAACAGAAATATTTGTGATAATGGAACCATCAAAAGAGTATGATGTTGAATACCTCCCCCAATGTGGTATAGCAGATAGAGCACTGGACTGGGGAGACCTTGGGGAAGGGACCATATCTCAGTGGGAGAACTCATGCTTTGTGTGTAGTAAGTCCCATGTTCAACCTCTGGCAACAAAGCAGGTTATGAGGAGGGACCCTCTTTGTCTGAGAAATGGAAAGTAACAGTCAGAGTAAATTATAGTGGACTATAAGGGCACGTTGTCTGACCTAGTATAAGGCAGCTTCCTGTTTTCCTAAAGCTCCACTTACCCATGAAGCTCACTAGGTGGCTTTGGGCCAGTTACTGTATCTCAGGCTACCTATTGCTATTTATTGGAAGAACAGCACATTGGAAAGATAACGAGTGAAGGGAAAAACCTGATAGAAGCCTGGAAACAGGCTCATGTTAGGGCAGGAATGGCATCATCTCTGAGGAGTCGGAATCCAACAACATCTGGAAGCTACAGGTTGGCCACCTGTGCTATCTCCATGCTGCTCGAGCTCAAGCTTTCTTTCCCAGGAATCTTGTAGAGGACAGTAATGACTATCTCACATCTGCTTCGTGTCAGAAACTGAAATTCAAGATTCCCACAGCTTTTAACATACTATGGCTCAGTTTTCTTATATTGGGATAAAGGCTTGTTAAGCAGACACACCCCTATGGCTTATTATCATTCTGTTTAGCTGGTTCTGATTATACCTTAGCTTTTGGACTGATTAAAAAAAGACATATCATGATCAAATCAGTTTTTGGCCTTGTTTACAGATTCTGGCATTTCATCTCCTTTGGAAAGCAATTTAATATCACAAATGACATCTTATTGAAGCAAGATGGCTGCATCTAGCTCAATAGTTTGAAAGGCCAACAGTAATTAAGAGTTTAGAAGTAAACACCTGTGTACTCATGAAGACAAGGGCATTCTGACCTAACAACTTCAATCGGGCTGACGCAACTAGCAAACTACTCCTGAAAAGCGAGAAGGATGAACATATGAAGCTGCTTCATCCTATCAGACCACGGATTCATTGAGTATGACACTGTCTGCTCCTGAACATGGATGACCTGAACCCTGTAGTCCATGTCTTGGTACCCTTGATACTGGATTACTGCAATGCACCCTTTGTGGGGCTGCTTGTGGGCCTGGTTGGGAAGCTCCAGCAGGTGCAGAATGTGGCAGCCAGACTGCTGATGGGGACATATAGCTAGCAACATGTGACATCATTGTTCAAACATCTGCACTGGCTGCCCATTTGTTACCAAGTTGAGTTCAAGGTCCTTGAATTAACTACCAAGCCCTGCACAACTTAGTCCCAGGATATTTTAGGGACTGTCTGAAGTCTTATATCCCAACTGCTGAGTTGTTGAGGCTCACTTGACATTGACACAACATGAAGCCATTAGTATCATTGGCCCAGCCCAGTGGAATGCTCTTTTAAGAGATCTTTCCTAGCCCTGTTGCATGAGATAATTTTAACTAAAGATAAGAGGGATTAAACTGAGGACCTCTTCCATGCAAAACATATGCTCCGTGTCTGATATAAAAAACTCCTCTCACTGGGTCTGGTATTACTTGTGAATATTCCACTTGATTAAAATCTTAGCCTGGCGTAACCTCAGCTTGAATCTTTCCGTAGAATTTCATCTGTTTCATTTTCCTTCTTATTCCTGGCTAATACTATTTGCCTTCCTTATCTCTAGTTCCAAAATTAAGAATAAATCAAATTATATTAGAAACATATATGACAACTCTGGGAGGGGGGAACAAGAATTATTATTTTTTCTTGCAGTTATGTTAGTTGTTTCAGCGATATATGGGTATTTATTTTTTGTGCACTAATTGAACATTTGGCAGGAGCAAAGGGATATATAAAGGCTGTCTTCTGGGTCCTGTTTCCCACCACACCTGATCTGAATTAGACAGGTAATAATCAGAGAAGCTTCTCTGGTTTTTGTGCCAGTTTATGGAATGTTCTCCTTGGTGACCTTGCTTGGCATCAACACTGATAACTGTTTGGTGCCAGCTGAGAGCTTTTCAAAAAAGAGTTATTTGCTCAGGTATTCAACATTGTTATCCCTGGAATGAAATTATGATTTTACCTGTTCTGCTGGGTTGTATTGATCAATATGAGTATTCCTTTGCTGTTGCTGTGTTTTGCAAAGGTGTTTTATTGTTTTAATATGTGTGCTGACCAGAGAGTCTTGTATTGATGGGTGGTGTAGGAATTTACAAACCAAATAAATACCACAATGCCCACTTTGTTTTCTTGGGGAAGTTAAAGATCTGCAACACACTCACTGTTTTTATGAGTAGGCACTACCTTCCAAAGAAAGACATCTGCATCATAATGCCCAAGGGCATTAGCAAACTGAAAACTCTGGGGCATGTTTGGAGCAGGCCTATTGAAAACAATGAGACATAATTTAATCATCCCTAGTTTAGGTCCCATTGATTCTGATGGGTTGACTCTAAGTAAGACCAAGACTGCAGCAAATCTATACACAGTAGCTACCTGAGATGAAGTCCCATGGAAGCCAAAGGGTCTGAGTAGGACTGCATTATAAGTCTGGAGCCAACACATATCTACACTTAGCTTGTGTGGGACAGAAAACCTACAATGATAGAGCCAGCTCTTCCCCCTTCCTTTCCTTGAATGAATTCCTTACAGGAGAACTTCATCTATGAATGAAAGACATGAGGTTGACTTTCAGTTGTTCGTCTTCTTCCTGCAAATTCACCTCAATTAAAAACAGTGGGAAATGGCACTTAGTTTTATTCATGAGTTTGAAAAATGAGAACACAAATGTTCTTGAGAAATTGCAGGTTTCCCCTTCACCGCCCCGCCTGTTTCAATTTAATTCACAGCAAACTACAGAGATTGACACTGGAAGGTTAAAGGGACAATCAGTCCTATTGGACTCATTTAGTCTGCCTGTCTAAAAAGTTCCATTTGATTGTAATTTGGTTTTTGATTGAAACCATCCAAAAAGCATTACCTTAAAAACCCTGTAAAATGAAAATAACCATTAAAATATTTCATTTATAGCTATGACATGAGGTTTCTACAAGTTACACTTAAACATTTCATCTTCCCAAAGTCTTAATATTGAATTAGCATCTCTAGATAGAATGAGGAGATTCTAATTTCTGATAATGATACAGTTTCAGAAGTAGGTGGAAATGTATTTCTGGCTACATGAGAGACCAACATTGATCTTATTTACTTAGAGGGTTTTATTTTTAAAGACAAAAGATCCAGACAACGTTTATAATTAA